GAGACAGGGTCTCCCTGTAGCCCCAGCTGTCCTGGAACTCACTATGTAGACCAGGTTGGCCTTGAACTCACAGAGATCCGCCTGCCTCTGCCTCCAAGCGCTGGGACTACAGGCGTGCGCCACCACGCCCAGCTATAATTTTTATTTTATGTGTATGAGTGTATTGCCTGCATGTATGTGAGTGCACTCGTGTCGTGTCGTGCAATACCTGCATGTATGTGAGTGCACTTGTGTCCTGCAATACCTGCAGAAGCCAGAGAGGGCATCGGATCCCCTGGAACTGACAGTTGTTACCTGCTATGTGGGTGCTGGGAATCACACCCTTTGCAAGAGCAGCCAGTGCTCTTAACTGCTGAGCCATCTCTCCAGCCCCTCATCCTAGTCTTGATGCGGCTGCACCATTACACCGGTAGACCACCTTCTGGAAGGTGCAGTATATGGTAGGCACAGTGAATGGGACCCCTGGTCATATGCCCTTGTCACACCTCCTTTGCATAAAAGCCTTGACACTAGACAGTTATGTCATGCCTTCAAGTCAGGAAATCAGACATTTGTAAGTTTTTGAGTAGTGGTACTGTAGGCAGACAAGGCAAACCCACACCCAAATATGTAGCACCCTGTTAAGCATGTAAACGTGTCTGATTAATTCTTATATATTTACATGTATCAGCACGTTTCAATCATCTACTCGCCCTTCCCTCTTTCCCTTCAGCAAGCCTTTGTTGACATCTCTGAGGGGCCAAAGAGATGGGGGAAGACTGTGGTTTTGTCTTTAAAAAGCCCTGTAAGGGGCTGGAGAGAGAGCACAGCGGTTAAGAGCACTGGCTGCTCTTGCAGAGGACCCGGGTCGATTCCCAGCACCCACGTGGTGGCTAACAAGTGTCCATAACTCAGGAGGGACAAGTGCTGGCTTTCGATCACTGGGTAGACGGCCTGGTCTGTGGCCTGTGTGAAGACGTCGTGGGGCCTGAGCATCCAGCAGGGGCGCGCAGGGCCTTTCAGGTCAGAGAAGCCTTATCAGGGCTCGCAGGCAGGCGGTCCCGACTCCACCCTGACTGACGGCTGAGCCCAGGGACCCGCCCGCCCGTTGGTCCTGGGAGGGCTCGAGGCCTGCAGCCAGGGGCCCCGTCTGACAGGAGGCCCACCAGATCGAGGAGAGACCAGAGGACTCCGGGTGATCGCCCGCTGCCGGGAGAAGAAACCAGCCCACCCCGCCCCCTGGCTCCGCCCTCC